TCTCTCTCTCTCGCTCTCTCTCCTCGCTCTCTCTCTCGCTTCTTTCTCTCTCGCTCGCTCTCCTCTCGTCTGCTCTCTCTCTCGCTCTCTCTCTCGCTTTCTTCTCCTCTCGCTCTCATCTTCTCGCTCTCGTCTCTCTCTCTCGCTTTCGTCTCTTCCTTCTCGCTCTCGCTCGTCTTCTCCTCGCTTCTCGCTCTCTCCGCTTTCTCTCTGTCGCTTTTCCGCTCTCTCGCTTTCTCTCTCGCTTTCTCTCTCGCTTTCTCTCTCGCTCTCGCTCTCTTTCTCGCTCTCTTTCTCGCTCTCGCTCTCTAATAATTGTTGAATGCTCTTAAGAAATTGCTAATGTAAAGGATATTGATGACAAATACCCTTTTTTTTATTTTTGAAGAGAGAACGGTAAAGCACATTTAAGAATGGGCTTAAATCGGTGCATTTAAGCATTTCGTCATGTTCGCCTGCGCCATCCAGCGCACTCTCAGACCTGAATTGACGTAACTTCGCGCATACGGCGAATTGCACCACTAAAAGCAACCAGTGAGAAGGTCATCGCTTCAAGCCCGGCGCTACATTACAGAGAGGGCCCCGGAGGTCGCGCACGCCGCACAACAGGAAATTAATTGGATTGAAATTTTCAAGTCTGGTTGCACCACATCCAAGCTGGGAATATACTTTTTTCGAATACGATTGTATTCAATTAAGTGAATGTCATTCTATGTTGTGTTCGTGTAAATGGAATATTCGTTTTGAACTGTGTGGAATATGCATAATTTATAACACAGGCTTTCTTTCCAATATTGCTCGTAATTTTACCGTCACCGTTTTCGCCACGCCGATTCTTTCAAGTCAAGAAAAAAAATATTAGACTGCACATTCTCATGGGAAGTTATGTTCGCGGAATTTGTTTCTTGTATTCCGCAGAGACTGTCATATCTGTCACGTCACCTGCGTTTCGCATGTTGCATTTTCACCTAACAAACTCCCTCAGATACTTCGTAAAGCATTCACGTCTCGCATAAAAATATTCAAAAGGTGGGGCACCACTTCAGCCCAGACAAGCTCGAAGCTTCCGACCGGTCTCCCGGAATGTGCGGTAGTGTAGTGCATGTAAGTGTAAGTGTGTGTAAGATAGGACAAGGAAGATAGAAGGAAAGACAGCGCGCTGTCGATAGAAGGTTTTGTTAGATACTGCTCCGGCATTTACCCGGTGTTGATCGGAGAAAACTTCCGATCAGGGCAGCTCATCACTAGATTACTCCTCCAGCCAGCAGCTCAATTCGATGTAACCATCTAGTGTCTAAATTTCAACTAGAATAAAATTAGAAGGCGACTGACAGTTCTTCACGCGAACGCAACGCCCTTAAGGGCAGCTACTCCATATGAACTCTAGGGCGGCGCCCTTCCAGAGGGAATGAGAGAGGGGGGAGAGGGCGAGGGAGAGGAAGGGAGAGATACTTCATAAAAATCGTTCAAATAATTTTTAAAAAATCACTCAAAAACTCAAATATTTTCTGAAAAAATGGATTCAAAATTCTAAATTTTTGCAAAAACAATTCTAAAACGGCTTCAAATTTTTCAATGCAAATTTGGATATAGAATTAAATTTTACTCTTCTACGATATTTTCAAAGTCATATTTTCGTTCTGCTATTAGGAAACCGAAAAACTGAAAAGCTGTGAATATAACATGAAAGTAATGCAATTGATACATAATTTTAAGTTCTACGTGATTTTCGTAGCGCTATCGGTTATTTTTGAGAAAAATGTTCATTCCTGAATGGGATGTTGAAAGATTTATTTTTTAAATAACTTTGTTTGCATTGTTACTAAGGAAACAAGTGTGGAAAATAATTAAAATACATAGATTAAATTCTGCAAAGCACATTAAATGTCGTGAACGGGTAAAAATGTTCAGTTTTAATTATAGTATATTTTTTAATTTTATCAAATTATCATTATTATTATTATTATTATCATTATTCCTTTACTTCAACACATTTACATATATTACGTTGCAGAGATTCGTCCTTAGGAGGGAAAGATGGATTGGAAAGAATTTTATTCTAGTACGCGGACTCTCAGACTGAGTTCGGAACCATGAAACTCAGGAATGTTTTCACTCGTGTTTGTGGCATGGGAGGGTCTAGTTCCTAGGTCAGCTCGAGGGGTTTTTCTCAACCAGGTGTCTCTCATCAGTACGGTACCGTCCCAGTCGGGACAAGCACTAAGCTTCCGACTCGTCTTTTGACATGTGTGGTAGTGTAGTGCATGTAAGTGACTGAGTGTGACACAAGAATAATACCTTTTAAAATATTATTTAAATTTTAAAGAATATTGTCTAGTATGTTATAAAACAGTCTTTGTTTCGTAACTTCGTGAGTATCTTTAGCGTTTTCCTTGTTCTGCTCGGCCATGCAACTGTGCAGTTGGGACGAGTGTCTGTCATCCTTGACCCATGAGCTGGACGCGTGCCCCCCCCCCCACTCGGACGCTCTCATTAGTCAATTGAGAATAACAACTGAAGGGCAGCTGACTTTGCTCTCCACCATTAACGGACTACACTTAACAGCAGAAATACCAAAGTAATCGCTGAGGCCAGCAGATCTTTCGCCTTAGATTAAACAGAAACAAACATCGCTGCGTGACGTCAGCTAAAATGTGTGACCTGATAGATAACTAAAGAAACGCCCCTCGCCTTCCTACCTCCAAATGTTTAGAAGAGGGAGTGGCAGATACAGAATTCAGGAAAGAAGTACGTTTTGTAAGTGCCGAGTCCGCTTCAGTCGGCTTCTATAATATGCAGTGAAATCCGGACGAATTATCATAAGTAATATCACAGCACTTCGAGCAATATTTAGTGTGACTATTTCACGAATTAAGACATTACATTAATCGAATGGATAATTAAAAATCCCAGAAATTACAAAAAAGAGATATATTTCTCAAAATCGCTACTTGAATATGTGAAATTTTCACCGAGTTATCACTGCCTTCTGGAATAACTTACAATGAAGTAAATTATGAACAACAGTTTATTGCTGAAAATTTTTTCAAATATGTTTCGATTTTATGATAATAAAAATTCCAAAAAATATTTATGACAAAGCTACTTACAAGAACATTAATTAAAAACACAACTATTAAAGTAGTAGGAAGTTCAGTTTTCCATGTCTCGGTATTCCGTGGAAGTATTTGAAATGGAAGATATACATGCTGAATTAGCAGCGGGATTGCAATGGATTGTACACTCGTGTGTACTCATTAAAGTATTTTTCTGAATAATTTTGGTTGTAACTTTCCATATAGTTCTGATAGCATATTCTTTGTAATCTTTACCATTTAATCTTCGCATATTAATTGCCTAAAATATGTGGAATTTCTTCTTTTGTAGTTCGTGCTGTTTCTTCTTCTGTTTTTTGGCACAGAATCTCTAATAATATAGTCTATTTCCAGTTTTAAACGTTAAATTTATGACGATAAACATCTGGTATTAATTTAATTTGAATATATTCTTGCTCGTTATTGGTTTCTAACAACTCAGGGAAATAGTCACAAAGATAAAATTGATGCGTTATTAATGGCCATTGTTTTCGTGAAACCGATTAATTTTTCCAGAAGACACTTGTAAGTGCAGTAAACACTCGTTAACACAAATTCCAAGGGGCTGCATTAATTGGTGTTCTTGTTACAAAAATTCGAGTTATACGATTTTAATATATATCCTCATTACGTTTCTTTGGCGGGACCTAAATTTCGTTGTTTTATTGTCGACGAATTTCGTGTTAACCGAGTTCGTGCTAACGAGAGTTTACTGAATTCTCGGTTTTCCCCGACCATCTGGCAAAGAGGCCAACGCCTAGGCACATTTTGACTTTTATTAAGTGGTCTCCTAAAGCGTTTTTAAGCTGTATAATAGAAGCCGAAAAGTATCTTATAGTAGGGAAATCATTTCTGTTTAACTAACCCACATTCAATTAATAAATATCTGTTAATACAAGACGTTCGTTTCGTCCAAATTCTCAGAATCCCTATGGTTTGCTAACTCATACTCCCTAACCCTTTGACTGCTCTGGAGGTGTTGACACGCCTTGTTGCCTGTGCTGGACGTGATGGCGCGTGCTATCAGGTAGTCGCTAGTAATCTGTGTACGTGTGCACACGCGAGACCATTCTCATTTTTATAATACCTTTTGCGAGGGCCAAATGATTCCTGATGTTTATTTTAACGCTATCTACGTGTGACTAAACCAAACACACCAACGTGACATCTTACTGGTTCGGGAGTTTCGCATTTCTATGATTTGCTTCGGGATTCAGCTACAATATGAATGCTTCTTGCCGGGTTGTGCGGGCTCAGCATAGAGCGGCGCAGACGGCAGTACTTATTGAGCACACCGTGTGACTCACTTTAGGCACAGCCATAGCAGCCAAAGGGCTGAAGTTGGATTCACGGAGTACTCGTGAATCCCATCTCGAATCCTTCGACAGACGGCCCTGCTGCGAATTGTTCTACGTGTGAATTGTGATGTAAACTGCATCTTCATGTTTAATTTGCGTAATCGATTCGATGAGGACCGACTGCGAGAGTTTCTCGTCCAAGAGAATGCGAATCATGTTTCATTTTTAGCTGGCGGAAGATAAATGATAATAAATACATTTATTGATATTTTTTTTGGAAATAAAAAATGCTAAAAAAACATTTATTTCGTATCAATTATCACTTTGGATTCGATTTACGCTTCCAGTATCCTTATTACCCTCTATTAAACGGCCACCTCTTTTAACTCCCAATTTTTGCCGAAGCCTTTGGTGACCGCTTAAGACAGGTTGCACTTATAAAGAAACAGTAGAATGGAGTCCGACTCGGAAACTGCGGGAGGGAGGGAGGGAGGGCGGCGGCGGCGGCGGCGGCGGCGGCGGCGGCGGCGGCGGCGGCGGCGAACGGTCGCGTGCCTCTGCGGGGGGCGCGCAGCGCAGTAATTGGGTGGTGACGTCACGGGGGCAGGCAGTGCGTCATCCGCGTTCCGCTCGTGCTGGGTGTCCGGTTCCGAGACGCGTGCGTCAAGGCCGTCTCGCCAGGCGCTGCCTGCTCACCGTGACGCACGACGTCGCAACGGGGTCGCCCGAGAGGAAATCTTCTGCTCAGTCCGCGCTGCACTCGGCCGGGGGTTGCCGCACGTTGCCGTTCCTCTCCTCTCCCCGCGCAGGTGAGTTGTGCTGCTCCAACGTGCCCTTCCTTTGTCAGTGGCATAGTCTCCAAGAGAAGCATTCGTGTGTGAGGCACAAGAGAGTGAATTACTTAACTTATTCTTTTTACGAGTGTGTGTAATACGTAAATAAAGAAGATCAGCGATTTCTTGGAACGTGCAACTAGTTGTGGGTAAGATTCCAACAGACGTGACATGAACACCAGTTCTTCGTGTTAAATTTCGTTTCGAACAACAAAATATTTACCTTTACTATGTTCACGTTTCCGTAAGCACCCGTTCATGTGCTCTACGTACAGTAACATCGTGTCATGACTCGGAATAGAAAACAGTGCATCGACAGCTGAAGCGAAGTGTAATTATGCGGGTGTACAACGGGACTGGAAGTTGTGATATGTGCGTTCTGAAGTGCGGGCTAAGATAAGTGTAGCAAGTGATCGTGGTACGATCGTCAGCCACCAGGCTGCGTGCGCAGGCTGGGCGAATGCTCTTGTCGCTGAGCGCTAAGAAATGCACATGAAAATCAGAGCGTTTGCCTGCATTTCAATGCTGCTTTGAATATGCTCTTTTTCAAAACCATATTAGAATTCAACTTTTGTGTCAGATTCATAGCCGCTTGTCAACTGTGGGCGAACACTGTTTTTAACTGGGACTATGTTTTAACTTTATTTATAATAATAATAATAATAATAATAATAATAATAATAATGATAATAATAATACTGATAGAACTAATAATTTTAGTTATTTATATTATTAAGTAGTCTGTTTCCTCGTGTAAAACAGATGGTAATGCTCTCAGCATATTTATTTGTAACGCAGTTTCCTGTTTTTTAAATTTAAATTTAACACACTGATGTGTGTTTACATTTGAATGCACTGTTTACTCAGCACGGTAGCCTCGAAAGATGAAGTGCAACAGAGAGCTCGTAAAATGTCCTCCACTTCCCAGTCAGCTAGTGTCCATTACTCATTAGAAAATTTGCAAATATGCTTAAATTCGTGTAAGATGATTCGGAAAGCAGTACATTCGAAAAACAGTAATTATTAGTAATATTACCTGTCGTTTTGTATGCGGGTTCGGGTTGCCGTACTCATGTTCTCGGGGTAGTGAGTCAATTTTTTACGTGGGATGCGATTAGGTACAAATTTTTTCAGTCGATTTTAAATTTACATCGCTGATAGAGATGCTGACAGCAACAGTCGTTTTTCGTCCGAAAATTCGCCGTTTTTCGCGCACTATTACATAACTTTCTCTTTACTCCGTAGCGAGAAAGTAAAAAGAATTTCGAAAATCATTAAAACGAATAAAATCGTATCGCAGTACGAGCTGAATTTAGAAAGTGACATTCTACATAATCTGTAATATCACACATTCTAACAAAACATTTTAAATAAAAAACTTTTAATTTACCGATCACACTCGACTCACAGTCGGGCTTTCATTAAGTGTCCCTAGGATGTGGTAATATAACTAGTGGACGGATTTTGATAAACAAAACATAACCAAAAATTATAAATTAAATACACTTAAAGTGTTTTTAAAATTCCCTAAAAAGCAAAGAAAAATTACGTAAATGTTTTTATAAAATCAAATTCTGATGCGTAACTCAAGATATTGGATATGTTACTGATGTAATCGCAGTGGCAGATTAAGGGGAGCCATGCCGCCCCAGACAAAGGTCTAGAGAGAAAAAAATGGTAAAAGTGCAGGAAAAATAGAAATGAGACAAGAAAAAATGGTGTAAACATCTCAAATGTATCGATAAAGTAACAGCGCGGCCTTTTAGATACGAATTACAATATTTCTTCTCGCTGTTTTTAAGCCCAGTATGTCATCGACTCTTCTCTAGAGGTGTATGACAGCTCATATCTTCCTCTAACTCCACTTGACAAGTCCGCTTGAAGTGTGCAGCGACTTCCACATACTGGAGTGTGGGCGACGCAGCTGGAAACAGTGTTGACGGAGCAAGGTCTTTCTAGGAGCCAAGTGAGTGAGCGAGAGCCGCTGCGATATTTCCCACAAATACATTGTGCATGAAGATCTCCCGCAAACAAATGAATAGGGCATGAATCGCTTACGTGTGCCTGAGACTGCGCGGTAATAAGTACTTAAGAGGAGGAAGAACATATCTAAAAAGAATAAGAATAAAAGAGGAAGATATCTAATAAAAAGAAAAAAGTAAAAGAACCTTGGGACATGTGTTGTGAAATCCTGTCGACTCTCTTCAGTCCTGGACAGTAATGTTTGTATGTAAACGAATGTGTAATTTGAAAGTCGATATTATTAGTTTTTGTTTACATCCTCTCTACATCTTTATCATTGAATGAAAAATATAATACCCTAATATATCGTCGTTTTTAAGCTCTGAGTTGAGCAATTTAATAACAGTTATTACTATTTTTAAATTTAAAACAATACAATTTTCATCAAATATTAAAGTTCATATTTTAATTTTTTTAAAAGCAATTTATGATAATCCTTATATATATATATATATATATATATATATATATTTGCCAATTGCCTCCCTTAAAAGAAATTCGTCTCTGGATCCGCTCCTGTATAAAAACATGAACGATTGGAAAAAATCGACATGGATGTCGCAAAAACTCGTTCCCCTCCTAGCGTCAGTTCCTGAGAAATTGTATCCGCACTAGGCCCTTCAGGGACGATACTTACACGCGACCACGCCAGTACTAAAATATTTCGAAACTAGTTGCTAGGCACCGACCCAATTTGCGCGCTTCCTTCTGACGAACGTTGCTGACGTTTCAGCGAGCACGGAAACACTGCGGATGCGCTGTGTTTCGCTCTTGAAGTTTGAGACTGAGCATGCGCGCCGTCGCTGGAAGTCCGGACTCGCTCGTCATTTACAAACAAACAAACAAAAAAGCTTTCACGTCCTCACAAATTTTCTCCACAGAATTACTTAGTAACCCAGTCGAATTCTTCGCTCAGAAGTTGTAATGTCAGGAACGTTCAATTAAATTAATTGACCACTAAGTTAAAGTTCATTATGCTACGCTTTCGGAATTCTTTCAAATTCAGTCAGCCTTCATACTGTTGGTTGTGTATACTTGGCGCATGTTCATTCCGGCCCGAGATATGGCATAATATTCTGCGGAAATTCATATTATAGCTCCCAGACTTTTAGATCCACGTGATTCTTATAAGCCTCTCTTTATTAATCCAGGCATTTTATCATTACCTCTCTTCATATATGAATCAGTGGTTTTTGTCAAAAATGACTTTCTTATGGGCGGGAGTATATTTTCAGCAAACGCTGATATCTATAACTACAATACTCGATGTAGTAATCATATTCATCAGGTGTCAGTATCAACAGCTCACTACAAAACTTCACATAAAATGCATGTACATTATTTTACAACACCTTGTCAGATGATACTAAACTATTAAATTCGACACAAAAGTTTAAGTGCCAAAGTCCCAAGTAAAATCTTTTCTGCTGTACAACTGTTTCTATACAATTAGAGACTATACCGAGCATCCAAAAGGAAAGTAATATAAATTTTAACAAAGACATTAAATGTATTATTTACCATTTGGATTGTATAATTCTGAAGAACCTGTAACAAGTATTGTACTTCAGCTTCTGCGTCGATGACACTCATCTCGATCAGGTTTTCGTCCAGTTTCCCCGATCCCCGAGCAAATGCTGAGATGGCCCTTGTTTTGCTTGCGGACATAAATGTGACTTCAAATTAAGTCACAGCACGTGAAACGGTTTTAACTGGTTTTGACGTAAATAAATAATTATTTTTTTCTCGACATTGTGCTTTGCTTTTAGAGCATTTTTAAAACATTTTAAGAATTATTTAATTTAAAGCATTTTATTAATAATTTTTCGCGATATTTTAGGTCATCAAAATGCACCTCCTACTAACATACATTTCTCTTTGACACGAAGGCAAATTTTCCCGCGCGGAAGTGAGAAGACGGGGGCGGGGTTGAGGCGCGGACGGAAGCGGGAAAAAGTGCTTCCCGTGACGTCGGCGGAAGCGGTGGCGGCGGCGCCGGCGAGCGGGCGAGCGGGCAGTGCGACGCCGCGACGGCTACCGACCGCCTCCGCCGGCGCTCGCCTCGCCCAGCGCCGCCCGACGCCGCCGCCGCCGCTGCCTCGTACCGACAGGTGCGTAATCTGCGTGTGCAGCGGCCGCAGGGACGACGGCAGCTTTCTTATCGGGCGTGAAACTCATTCTATGTAAACAACGGGATTAAATTCGTGTCAAGAACACTCGTTCTTGTGAACACGTGTCCATTTTGGGGGTCTTCATACGAATCGCATTTGTGTTCTTTAATCGCATTAAAATGTATATGAGAAATGAACTGCAAGTAAATGTGAATAAATACATGCACAAAAACAGCTGTACTTTTGGCTACAATTTGCGGCTGTAGACCGCAGTTAATCTTTTTGTGCTTCTTTATCATTTACTGAGAATACGACCCAAGCGGTTTCATCCATACTTAATCGTACTTAGGCAATGATATGCAATTGAGTCGAAGTCAACAATTCAAATTACATCTTCTCGTTTGGTGATTTGAATGCAGATTGAAAAATCGAATGTTATATTCCTTTTTGCGAAATCGTTTGTTCCTTTACCTTTGGCATGGTGATATTATTAGATCATTTATTTATAAGGATGATTTGGTTGAGCTGTAAGATGTATTTAACTGTGGTTCGAAAGTAATTGTAATGAAACCCGGACAAAAGAAACATATTTAGGAACGAACGATGGACATTTAAATGGAAGTTGAACGTCTAATAAATCCAAGGTTACGTCATTACTGACGTGTTGCTTGACATAGTCTAAATTTGTTGCAACTTGTCGTAACAGATTGTGAAATAATATGATGTGTAACGGTATTGTCTTGTGAATTATGAGGAAAATAAAATAAGTTAATATCCCCTCTATTGTAACATGCCAAGGAAAAATGAAGGTTTTTAACCATTTATGAGAAATCATTGACATAAAACCTCGTAAGTGGGATACCTACTGTTTGATAGGGGAATATCTGTGTCAGTACAGCAACAAGCAGATTTAAGAGGACAAAAAATACAAGTTTGGACAAAGGAGGAAAAGCAAGGCACATACATCCGCCTACACACGTTACATTGCATCACACTTTAGCATCGTGCTTAACTCGGAAACGATGCATATTAGGCACCAGTAACCGGATTTTCGTATTCCGGAAGAGACATCAGTTGTTTCTTATGCAGAAATCTACAAAATGAGAACATTCTATTACATTTTTGGATGGTTCTTTCACTTCTCACAACTCGTAGTCGGAATCTTCGAAATCGGGTGTCATTATGATGGTTTTTGCACTTTCAAGATAATTATTAAACGCAATATTTCGGAGATTTTTACGTACTTGCAAGCACAGGACTACTCAAGTCATTATTTTTAAACTAGCCCACCACATTGAATTTTGAATGCGAAAACATCCTTCGCACGCATCCTTCGGAGGGGAAGTAAAGCCGACTGATCTATATTGTAGATTTACTGTATGTAAAAGACCATCAAGCCTAGAAGAAGCTTGAAATAAATTTTAAAAAATCACCTCGTAGTCAGAGTGATTCCTTCTTTTTCCGCTGGAGAAGTGAGCGTAGCGAAATTTACGTGGTCAGCCGAAAGACCAGTCATGTTGGCCGAGTCTCGCCACGTAAAATAAGGCATCATTGAATCAATATATTATGAATACTTTTACGTCCTTTTTGCCATCACAATTTGTACTGCTCGCCTGAGAGGAAAAAGATGAAGCTGAAAGCTGAGCAATCTTTCACATACAGTTACATGGATGTTTGACATTAATTCTGAACTTATGACCAATTTCTTTCCCCCGAAAGAGGAACTGGGCAATATTTCTTGCGCATAATCGTTAGTGCTGGAACTAACATTGAGTTTTCGTTGGCTGCTGTTTATCGATCTAATGACGTTAACCACTATTATGCATTTACATTGCGTCCCGATACAGTTCTTTGGGACCAACGCGCAGCGGCCGCTATGAGGCAACGTCTTACTACTCTGTGCGAGAGGAGCGCGCGTTGGACCCCGCCATAGGGCGTGGCGCAGAGGCGTAGCGTAGTGGGGGAGCGTTACTTAAAGAAGGGCGGCAAAATTTCACAATGAAAAATAATTATATCTTGTAAAAAATTGAACCATTTTATTTCATATTTTTATCGCACCGCCGATTCGGTCCGATTGAAATGAGCACGAAATATTCCATTACTTATTCTGTGACATCTTTAAATGAACGTATAATAATGACATCTTGCTCAATGTAGCGACGGTCAAAACCGTCTGTACTGACGCGTAGTGATTCCTTGCATTTTATTTTTTGCTTGGAATGTTTATAATTTTAGCGAGAATGACCTACCATATAAAGAATAGCGTTCAATATTGTAAAGTAACTCCTGAAAATTAGATTACAGTAGGGATAAGACCATTCAGGGAAGTCCACGAGGGGCGCTTTGACAATTCAAAGAAAGTTTTATTGATGGATCGTCTGTCGTCCAATTCTCATTAACTTAATCATGTATGTGATAGCGCTTTCCAAACTGTGATTTTAGTACTCATAAGTACATGTAGTGACTGTTAATTTAAATGATTGCTATTCTTGCGACTGTTTGCGACGAAGTTTTACTACTCTTGTGGCAAGTACATACGAGAAAAACGAGTTGTGTTGGTTTATCGTTTTGCCAGTTCTAGTATTATTTATGATTACGGTGCATTTTACGGGCTACAGGCAATGACTAACCTAAGTTTGCATTAAAGATGCTTAGTCATATACAACCAAAAGGAACAAACAAAGGGTCACATCAGCTTTTGAAATAGGTGCTCAAAACACTGCACACTATGGTCTGAATGACATTAAAAATGCTTATTGCGTTTGAAACTACCCCATTGGAGAACGTTGGGCTATGTGACGTACGTGAGGTTAATTTGTGGTTTTTCGATGACTTAGAAACAAACATAATACAATTGAAATGAAAAATGTGAATGAAAGAATTAAATGAATGAAACATTGAATGGAAATTTGAATGAAACTTTTTTTTTTCTTCACAAAATCAGTCGTGAGACAAATTTAGTTTGTCGATGACGTTACGATATTTAAGTCGCATAGCAACAGAGGTGTAGTAGGTATTCATGCACCCATGGCAAGCATAGAATTTGCGCACCTGTCCGGATACTTTAAATTAGAGATTTTGTTATTTCTTTCAGCGGGTGTACTCTAAATAGCGCTCCGTGTGAGGGGCGCCCTTGGCACCTGCCATGTCTGCCATTCCGGTACCCAGATAATACGCAACGGCGACCCCAAAATAAATTGCAATGTAATTGAATGGAACATTGCAGATTTAAGAACTAATGCTACATGTATTTAGCTACATACTATTACAACCATTTTCTACAAGTTTTTGTTAAAATATTTTCAGTTTTAGACCTGCGGCAAGGGTTTATATGTATTTTGAAAGTATTTTGCACTTGCGGTCCTTTCTGTGAGGAAAATGATAGCTAAGATCTTTTTACGGTTTTTTAAAATTATTTTTTTATTTATGTATCGGTTCAACATTCATTATGATGCACCGAATACACAACTCTCCTGAACACACACTAACAGATAATGAAATGCGGTTGCAAAGGGCAGATGGGCAGACTTGGCTGCTATAGAGTTTCACAGTTACCGCGATAAGTGCACGGCGTCTGTCTTGCAATTGTTTTGTAAACATCTGATGCGCGTTGAAGAAAGATGAAACCATCACTTCCTGCCTCATAAAATAAATATTTTTAATTGAATCGCGAACGTCCTTCTCAACCGCCTCGTGACCTCATAAATGTGCTGTCAAAAAGCTTCATTTTACAAGGCAGGTGGTGTAACAATGACCTAATGTCATCAGCCACCATCGGTCACTGTCATCGTGCCCGTTTAAGCATAAGGTTAGGAAACTATCCACTAATAGAAGTAATAAACAACGAAACTATAACGCTTCGTCTAAACAAAGATTGCGAAAAAACTACTTTGCGGTATTTCACTGACTCTCTCCCGCCCACTGGCAAGTGACGTAAGAAGCGAACACGGGATGCCCACAGAATTAAACACCATTTTTTTCTTCACAATATCACGGCGCCAGGTGATTGAAGAGAGTCTGAGAAAGCTGGAGGGGGGGGGGGCGCTTGTACCCTGCCGACCCGCAGGTGAGGAAAGGTCGCGCGGGAATGCGAGGCGCGTTGGGCATGACCGGCAGACAGAAACGCCGCGTGCGAAGGTCACACGCGCTACAGGACGTCCGCTGTTGCATGGGCGCCACCGTCGCCGCATGTGACAAGTAGCACGTAGTTCTCTGCCGCGGCTCGAAACTGCGAGGTGCGCCCGGTTACCGCATCTGACTCCTCTCCTAAATTTAGAAGACGTTAGCGGGAGTTTTCGTATGCCTTAGCGGGCATCAGTCGACTGCAATATCGATCTTCTGCTCACGCGCAGATGCACGAAAGTGATGCTAAATTTGAACTGCGCTGCCCGCAGGAGATCTATAGGGCTGTCAATTGCGTTAAGGTTCGAGGGTGCAAATACTTCCTATTCTTTTCGGAGGAGGAGCCTACTGTGGCGTCGTTAACACGAGGGCCAGAACCGTTAGGTTGGTGAAAGTACGCGGCGGGGGAGGAAGGGGTTAAGCCTGAACATCCGGAGTTTGCGCTCTGGCGGTTGACTCATGTAGAGCCGCAGAGCCACAAAAATACCGTTGGCTGTAAACTCCGAGGAGGCTAGCTAGCGTGCCTCAACCGGAAGCAGGCGAGCCAACCCCGAGAATCCAGTGTGGGGGCGTAAACCAAGGCTGGCCAGCGAGTCTCGCGCCAGCCGGCGGGCCTATCTATGGAACAGTGGTGGGGGTGTCAGCCTCAACTATTTAACGCGGCGTTATCTGCGCCCGCGTTCTCATTCAGTTTGCATCGGGTAGCTTGTACGTGTATGTACAAGGAGGGTGTAGGAGTGAGGGCGAGATGTCCGGAGAGTAAGGGCCAGACAATCTCACGTGCTGTAGGCACACGGTCGCCACGACCGGGTTAACTTTTGGCGTCAGGCCATGTGACGGTAATTGTCACGGGACAGAGGTCCGACGGCGCGCATCAC